CCAGCAGGATCACAGTAACGGTCTAATTTATGTGCTTTCTATCTGGTTCATAAACAGGGATCACAGCAGCAGGAACACTGTGAGCCTGATTTACGCCAACACATATTCAAACAGTGAAACTGATATAATGTAACAACTGCCCCGTGTGTCGGAGACACAAATAATCTCATAAGGAATCATTTAGATGAGTGGAATATTTAGGGCGTTCTGTGGCGACTGCACTGACGCTGGGTTTGTTTATTTTTATCAGGAGCATGCCATGTTTGTTGCAGTGCCAATTAGCAGGTAGGCCTAATCATGCTAATTCACTCGCTAATTCCCTAAAATACAGATTGCTTTAGTAAGTAATGAGATGATACATGTGTAACTCAAAGGATAGTTCAAAAACAAGAAAAAAATACTTTAAACTACAGCTGCTTTAAAACGACTAATACAAGTTTACATACAACTAAACTAAATAAAACCAAGTTAGCTTTCTTTAGCCGTGGTGGTTAACACTGGTTCAATGGAAAAACAAAGGCAGTCGTTACCATTACCTTCACTGATACCCCTGCCATGGAAGCAGAGAGCAGGTGGTCTTAGGTTCCATTCCCAGAGGAACTACATACTTAGGGAAGATCTGTGTGGGATCAACGAATCTCAAAATGAATAAGAAAAAAACATACAAGTGGCTAACTTTTAGCTATAACCATTGAACATGCCAGGACAAGCTAAGGTAATATGACTATACAATAGTTTTGTGCTAACTAATCCACGCAGCAACAATGAAATATGAATTGCAAATGACTACAATCCAAACCTTTTTTTAAAGTTTTAATTTGAAATATGAATTGCAAATGACTACAATCCAAACCTTTAGTTTTAATCCCTTTTATCTTGAATTCCTTAACACAAAAATGATCCTCCAAACTTCAGATCATCTTTAAGTGGAAATTTGGAATTCCATTACCGCCACCTACTGGCACTTCCAGCATTCCCACATGATCCAATAATTTGAGAGTGGAGTATAGACAAATAAGAAAACCAGAAGAATTAAAAAGAAGACCAACAGGAAATCTCTCTTTGTCATGAACTTACTGCATTTCCCCAATGCACGTACATTAGCAATAGGAAAAAAGGTACAAGAATGTAATGTTTTTAAAACAGATATATAATCATTTCAAGTGACTAGACGAGGTTGGATTTTTTTTTTCCTTTTAACTGATTTCCAATTTCCAACTCCCCGACAACAGAAAGACACACACTTAAATGACAATTTGTCTTTTATTTTCTATATTTTAAAGTTTATTATTTACAAACAAAATAAAGAAAAAAAATCAAAAAGATTTTTGACAAACACTGTTTGTCTGCATATTGTGGTAAGAAAGTTTACATTGATCTTTCTTTCCTCTGTATCGAGTAACCAACTAATAGGTTATTTTCTCTAAACCTTGGATTACATGAATGAGCAGAACAATGACAATGTGACTGGGGTTGGAAAGAACAGAGCTGGAATTGCTCTCTCTCTCTCTGTCTCTCTCTCACTCACTCTCTCTCTCTCTCTCTCTCTCTCCTTCCACTGCACATGTCTTCAGTAAACATATGAAACCTGTGTCCAAAACCAAAAAAAAACATTTGGTTTGTCCTCTCTGGGCATCGTCCGCAGATATTTATCTCCTTAAACCAAAAAAAACAAAAAAAAACAAAAAAAACAAAACCACAAATAAATATACAAATGATGTGCTGGTTTGTTGAGAGTCTCTATACTGCTAATTATAAGCTCATTAGATTCTTTTTTTATACATCACCATTAATGCCCATCCCAGTTGGTTGTGTATGGTATACTGTTGTGAGAAAAGCACATAGTTGGGAAGCTCTCCCTCCAAAGGCAAGTATCAAAAACAGCACAAACCAACAGTGCTGCCATCCATCTTGACCGTGCACTAGTTCCTATACACTATGGCATATTCACGATTAAGCGCTCTCTGTTGTAAATAGAACATCTCCCCCCTCACCTCATTTAGAACCCGGTGCAGGATCAGGGCAGCAGAGATTCCTGGGGATATCGCTCGCTCTCGTCTTCATTCAACATCTACTGTAAGCTCATCTAAGCTGAAAGATCTAAAATTAGTAAATAAGAAAGTGCAATTTTAAACAAAGACAACGACTTCAAACGTTTTGCTTTGGCCAGTTTCCTTCCACACATCAATATTCAACTCAGACATCAAAGAAAAGCTAGAAAGGTTCTCCAGATTTGTACAATGTCTCACCGGGGGGTGTTTTTTTTTTTTTCTTTTCTTTTTTACGGCAGGTCTGAACAGTTGCAGTTCTGTGACCGTACAACGTCTTCATTTGAAATCCTACGTGACTCGATGTCGGGGATAATAACGACTCTGCAGCTCCGTGTTGTGAGTTAAAATACCAATTTGATCCATGGAGACATTTGGCCATCATCATCATCATCATCATCATCATCATCAGCCTACACCGTTTGTGTGTGCAAAAAACTTGGAAAGATTGAACCCACAGAATATATACAGCAGGAGCGCACGACCGTGTGCAGAAGAGCCGCCCCCTCTGTCACACACACCAAGCTTACACTCTTAACAAAAGGTGGAACATGGCTATAGTTTAGGCACAAATACTTAAGAATGTCCGTGGGACGACGGGTTGATGCTTCTGTTCACACACAGATAAAAGTCTAGGCAGACAGACGATGAACAAAACGGAATCTAGCAATAACATTTAACATCAACATTTTTCCAGATAGTATTTTTTTTTTTTAAGTATTTGTGACAGTGCATGCTTTCATGACATTGGTGAATTGACTGTATTGGTACACCATTGACACAAGCTGTAGCAAAGTGTTGGAATCTTTTGAAACCCTATCCCATGGGCCGGGACACTCTGAGCTGACTGAAGCGGCTGTACCTCACTGAGGGCAAACCCAGGACTGATGAGGCACTGAGGCCTGGAGCTTAACATGCAGGAAATGACCTGTAGGACCTGTAAGCCAGGGGTCCTCAACCACCGGTTCGGGGACTGGTGCAGGTCCCTAGGTCATTTGGTACCAGTCCGCAGTGGAACACAGTGAAAATATTTACTTTGGGTTTTCTGATTCACTTCATCCAAAGAGAATCCAGTCATATCCTTTTACATTCTTCATTTAAAGATAATCTGTCAGTGTTTCAGAACAACAGGTCAAAGGTCATTCAGACTCTGATACTGACAGAAGAAAGTCTGAAAGATGTTTGATTTAGAAAAATTAATGATCCTTCAACGGTGGCGTGGTATTATCGGTCCGCAGTAACGGCTTAGACCGGCCGACTGGTCCTTAGTACAACAAAAGTTGGGCACCGCTGCTGTAAAAGTGAAAAAAGAATGGCTTGTTGTTTGAATTTTTCGCATAATTTAATGATCAGAATGTTCAAAATATCACGTTTCCTCAGGATCAGAGTCACAGTATTCTGGGCTGACATTTCTGTCCTACCAGCAGCCCAGCCCAGGTCAGGTTAGAGTGTCCAAGCCCAAGAAATGGATTTACGAGAAAGAGAAACCTTAATGCAAACCAGCATTTATATATTTTTTTACCCCTCCAACTGTAGCTGCAAACCAGCATTTATATATTTTTTTATCCCTCCAACTGTAGCAGCAGCAGCACAAAAACACCTGAGCCAAAAATATGGCCCCCGTATTTGACTGAAATAAAATGTGTTCAAATGAGGTGCAAGGCTTCTCCACTACAGTAGTTGTGATGTCAGAGTGTACAGCACAGATTCACTCAAAAATCCCATGAGGAAGCGTCTAAAAGTCTAAAAGTTTTGCTTTCCCAAACAATACATTTCATTGGATTAACATTAAGAAATGTACTCAAAATGTCCCCAAGACGTACACGTTTGAGTCCAGTGAACCACAGGTTAATATTGTATACGCTCACTTGATGTGCAGCTAAAACTATAGTGGACTAAGGATAGTATATAAAGGGAGAGGGAATCTTAAATGTCCTCCACTCAGGCATTTCTCAGCATTACGTAGTGCTAGCTATTGCATTAAGGTTTGTTTATCTCTTATGAAACATTTGTATTTTGTCTCTTAACCTTTGTCGCATATAGATGAACCAGGTTCCTGAAGTAAGACATTGTTATGATAGAGAATGCACCACACAGTATCTGTAAATACTAGCTCTACAAAACTATTTACAGCACACATATAGGTAATCTTTATGTCACAGTCTATTGCATAATGGTGATAATCTTTAGTTTATAAATATTATAAATATACACAGATTTTAAGCAACATTATGTAACATCAGGCATCTGAAATCAGAAATAGAAAAACAAAAGAAGTAGCATCCATCCATATGTTTGACCACACTTCGATCTCCTCAAAAATAAACAGTTATCTATTCCCTTTTATACCCATAACACTGTCATGGTTTGCACGTGAGCCACACCGGGGAGACGGTAGCTCAGAACTTGGACTGTATTTGTGTCAGTGAACGCGACATAACACTCAGTTACAGTAGGTTTGTGAAATGAAGGTAAAGAACATGGGAGGAGGTTTATTTGTGTGTGTGTGTTTGCGTGTGTGTGTGTTTGTGTGTGTGCTTTTTGAGATTATTTGTTGTTTCAGAGTTTGCTTGCACGTATTATTCCACAGTGGTGCCTAAAGCTGCTTAATAGGGGGAAGATAATTTTCCTCTTCCTCGATGGCTTAAAAAAAGTCTTTGTCAAAACCCACGATGCATTCCAGGTAAAAACAAAGCAAAAAAGAGAGAAGAGAAAAAAACAAAAAACAAAACAAAAAACAACAACATACATTATATATATTTCTGTATATTTCTCAGGAAGACTGATGTTTATACTACAGCTTTAAATTGCCATTGCCAAATATAGATGCTGAACTTCGTACACACTCATGCACACACGCATCCAGGCATTGTCCATTGTCCGTTTGATATATATATATATATATACTTATGAAATGTATCTGTATAATATACATTCTTAAGTTTAGGGAGACGTGTCTAAAATATAATACAAGGGTTTTATGTACAGAAGTATTTGAGGTTATTTTTAAAATAAATGGAGAGAAACAAAAATGCTGAAGGTCCTCATTTACACCTCCTTCGCTAGATCTCCATTTTCAAAATAAACAAATATATTTAAGTAAAAAAAAAAAAAGAAAAAAGATGGAAACAGAAAATGGAATCATAAATTCGATGCAAAACGCATTTTGTCTTGCTCAGTCTCTGTACTGCTCAGGACAGAATCTCTCCGAGATCCAGGGGATTCCCTGTGCTGTGTTGACGACGACGCCGCCACTGCCGCGGCGGCGGCAGCGGCGGAGCGAACCGGGGGCAGAGCTCCTGATGACATCTGTCGGAATAAATTGACCCTCTGGGGCACCGTGGTGCGGAGGCCGGCCTGCAGATTCATGCCCTGGATCGCTGCTGCTGCTGAGGGCGGCGCGATGGAGGCCAGAGAGTCTCCTGAGGCAGGATGTGCTCTGGGGCCCACAGATGTGTCATGTGGTAGTGACGGTTGGGAGGCCGACAAGTGTCGGACATCTCGACTCAAGCTGCCTGAATGAAGAGCCTGTGTGCTCTTGTGGAAGTCTCCTCGCTGTGGCGAAGGGACCTGCTGCTGCTGCTGAGGCGACGGCTGCTGTTGCTGTTGCTGTTGCTGCTGCTGAGTTGCAGAGGCAGCAGCTGACACAGGTGACACGGAGGGCTGCTGAGCGAGCTGTTGCTGTGCGGACAGAGAAGGCTGCACGATGGGCTGCTGGATAAGCGACAGCTGGGAGGCTGTGGGCGAGCCGTACTGGAAGCTTCGGCTAGCCATGGGCGTCTGCACCGGCGGACTGCATATGGCGGTGGTGAAGGAGCAGGGTGACATGATTCCCTGCTGCAGTGGGGTCTGTGGGTTGGTGGAAGAATGTAGGTTGCCATGAGAAACACTTGGAGCAGGATAAATCCCCTGCACTGCAGCAGCAGCAGCAGCTGCAGCAACTGGCAGCATGCGAGCAGCAGATGCATTGGCAATAGCTGAAGCACTGTAGGTCAGGGGCACAGAAGACTGCTGGAGCTGGTTGGTGCCAAAGGCAGTGGAGAAGGGCGGTTGTGCTGGTGAGTTAATGATGGAGTTTCCTGACAGTGGCGTTGAGTTCATCCCCGTGACTGACTGTTTGCGGTCCACCATCATCACCATCTCCCTGTCCTGACGGATGATCTGCTTCAACAACTCGTTCTCCTGGGTGTTGAACACGCCAGCGTTCAGGTCCTTCTGAAATTTCTGCAGCAGCAAGGAGTTCTTCTTCCCTGTTGAGGACGCAGTCAAAAGAAATGAGTACACACAGCCTGGCAAACCAGTCGCAGCACACCACAGGAAATGGTCAGGATTTAGGGCAGCATTTACTGTATGGTGCAGCTTGTAAAGGTCAGTGGTGAAACTTTGGCACATTTGTAAAACTGGAGAAACCCAGCTGAATTCAACACAGAATAATGGTGTTCAGCAACTACAGTCAGTAGAAAAAGAGGCAGGGAAATCTAGGTCCAACATAGATTAGTGAGTTCTGTTTGCCCCAAAAGTTTGTGAATTCAGTTCCTGAATGGAATGAAGGCAGATCTCTCCGTATGCTCACAATATCATTACAAGTACTGTTCAACATGAGCCAGACTTTACTGTGTATATTTAACTAAACTGTAACAACTTGTTTGTACAGGCAGTGATATCGGTGTGTTTCCCCTCAGTCCAAATGGTTACAGTACATACAGTATCAGTCCCAATACCCAGTGGAGCTCAGTGTCATGTACAGCTTTTCACGAAAAAAGGTCTAAAAGCAAAGACTTTCATCATTAGGTTAAGGATAGAAGGTACCTGGGCTCTGCTGGAGTGTCTTGGTTCATACGGATGTTCATGTCATGGAAGCGAGGCAGCACTTCTTAGACCGCAAGGGTGATTATAGCCTGTAGCCGTACAGGAACAGTCATTTTGACTGGTGTGGACTAGGGCCAACAGTTATACGTGACTGCCTGTACACACACTAAGATACTGTTGCTTATGTACAAACATTAAACAAAACTAGCATGAGTCCATAAAAAAACATATAATGATGCGGTACACTTGTAATGATATTGTGAGTATACTGAAAGAGGAAAAGACAGTTCCCACAGTCTGCCCCTTGAGGTTTACCTTAAAACAGCCATGCAGATTCACAAACAAGCAGGAAAACCCTCATCTACGGAGAACCGTTAGGTTTTGTTTTTCTACTGATTGTCGTCGAGCGTGAACAACAAGGCTGCGTTTTGTAAACAGAGGGATTTCGTCTCAGTCGAAAACAAATTCACAAAACAGATTTGTCTAATTCTTAAGCACACAAGCTGCAACTGTGCATGCCCAATAGAGACTGTGCTAAATACTGATATATTAGAGAAGAGCATTGTGTGATAAGGACTATACAGAAGAGTGAGGGACACGTGTGGAGACGAAGACTACTGAGAATGTGATGATGCTGAGGTAGACAATGGAAGACAGATGGATTGTGATTCTGATGACCCACACAGCGTCACTGTCAGTTTCAGTACACAAAAATTCTAAGGTCAAACGAGGACTAAAAGGTCACATTCTACTGAGAATACTACTACGATTTTGGCTAAAACACCAGAGAAGAATATTTTAAATTGAAAACACAATGCAACAAATATTTACTAGTACGTGTAACCTTTACTGTATCTGCACACTTAAGGTATATTAAAACCTTTTGCATTTAAACGCTGTTCTAGTCTGTAGCCGTTTCAGTGCAGATAAATAACGCAACAATATCCGTGTTTGACAAATTGTTTTTGTTCTCCAAAGGTTATTTTCTCTCCCAGACTGTCAGAAAGCCACAATTACTGTTGTTACAAAATCAAAAATAAACGTCTCCTCTGTACAGCAGCGCTAAGCTAACCATAAATGTCTGTTGAAAATATTAATTGAACCTCTTTGAATCAGCGTTTCCAAATTTATTTTTCCTGTTATTACTCTTGACCTTGTGTATCGACAGGCTGTGTCGCATAAACGTGTCAGTGAGGAAGACAAAGAGGACTTCCAGAGTGCTGAGAGCTTTAGCCACAGCCACTTAATCATTAAGCTCCGTCCTTGAGGACAGAATATTTTCTCCACCAAGTTTAGCTGGGAACGCCTCTGACCGAATAATATCCGCCACCCAAGGCCGACGACGAGCCGTGCATTCAGCTGTAAGACAGGACTGGATGGAAATACTGCGCAGCGACGATTCATGTTCTGATCCTTCCTCACATGTCGTCATGTGAAAAAGAGTTTCATTTTATGTTCAATTAAGCAGCAGAATTACTACAAGGTGAGGGACTAGAACTCTGAAACTATCACCAGGAACCACAGATATACCACTAGTGTTGACTTACAAGGCTTCTCTTATTGCATTTTTAAAGGTGACAGGGTTAATCTCTGGAGATTGAAAGGACAAAAGGTTAATGGAGTTAGTCTGAACAGAAGCTGTGACTATGTTCACGTAAACAACCTCTTATTTGTTATTATTTTCATGGAAAAACAGGATCAAATGTTTAAAACTAAATTATTAAAATGAAAGTTGGAGAAATATAAACAGAAACGTTAAATCCTGCAGTGGAAAGTTACGCTGTTAAAAGTTTTAAATGACAGATTTGACAGTTTTTTTTTGTTAAAACGTGTGTACTAAAGTACTGCAACACCACCAACAAAAGGCTGTTTAAAAACCTTTAGTAATGTGACTTTACAGACCTTAACTCCTTAATGTAATGACTTCTAACGTTTTATCTCCCTTTGTCTCATTAGCTCAGCAAAAAACAAAATAAAAACAAAAACAAATATTGTTTAAGATATGAGAAAATCACTGAAACCATTTTAGTTTGTTGATTTTTAAAGCAATCTTCAACCAAACAAAAATAAAAAATAAAAAAAACAAGTTGAGAAGTCAATCAAATGTAAACATATACAATGAAGGTCAGAGGTCATCTGTATTAAATCACAGCATAAAAATCAATAAATTAGATAAAGGTTGAATTTGTTGTTTTAGAATAAAACCAAAATACTAATTCATACATGTATATATTTGTGTTATTGATAAGTATTGATAAGGCAATAGGTACAACATCAGAAAAAATCAGGGATGAAATAAGCTGTTTTTCCGGTCATTTTTTTTTTACCTTGGTTAGATGGATACCTGCATGTGTGTGATGGAATGATTTGTGATGGAATAATTACACCTTTATTGTTCACAACAGAAAAACGTGACATTTCTATGTCCATGTGTGTTTCTGTGAGAGCCAAATACAGTATTGAGTGACTGACTGGTATCTAAAAGTAGACTTTATACAACACTTCAGATGTTCAGGTGGAATGTTAAGTGTCGCTGTAACAAAAACCCTTTCCTGGAGTGTGTTTATTTGACAGTATGTGTATTAAAGAAGATGAATGGTGGAATTATTGGAATTAACATAAGAAAAATCAGATTAATTTCACATAATTATTAACACTATTAACTGTTCATGTTGACGGCCCTACGTTTTTTTTTTTATATATAAATAACTTTCACCAGACAATCATAGTTTCCATATTGGCAAACACATGGATAAAAAAAATGAAATGAACTTTCAGCATGTAAAAATAAAATACAAAAAAAAAAAAGAATGTTGTGTTACATTAGTAAAGAATTTACTAACCTTCAGAACATGAGTTTGTTTGTGAAAATACTTTGAACTACAGTTCAAAGACTGTATATAAATATCACACCAATATGACTGACTAAGTATTAGTACTTCGTCTTATTTTAACTGTACAGGAAGACTGGTTAGAACACAAAGTGCCATGTCACAGAATGAGAGTTTAGCGATTCTTAGATGCCATAATGTAATGTGGTCATCAACAGTTCAGCAGCACCTGAACGGGTGGTCAAAGGTTAAACTCCTCAGATAAATACTCTGAGATTAAAAATGTTTAATTTATCCCTGTTCGAGTGTTGGAGTTGGAGTAAAGTGTTTACCTGGTGCCTACTCGTCGGCCAGGGCACTCTTGAAAACGAGATGTGCTCGTCTCAAGACGGACTCCTGGTCAAATAATTTTTAGATAGATAAAAATTATGTCAAATGTGCAACATGTTATTCGTTTCAAAACATGGTTAATTTGACTCTTTTCTTTTTTCTTTTTTTTTTAGAGCAAGACAGGCATGTAACCAAATGCAGTTCATATCGAAAAAAAATGATACAATCAGCACGAATCATGACAAAAAATATCTTCCCTTGTATGAGACAAAACCCCTTCATGGTTTGTCCAAAAAGACAGATCCAATCTCTGGCACTCTGAGAACATTTAGCAGCAGCGAAACATTAGGTCAGATGGTAACTAAAACAAAAAGGCTAAATGCAGATTTGGACTGCTGAGGTCAAAGGGCTCGGAGTGTGCAAGTTCATACACTACACTTGAATGCCATAAGACCTTAGAGTGTGTGAATGTTTGGACACGTGAAGAAGTGAATTCCCAAGAAGTTCAGCAGTAGGCAACTGGACCGGCTTCAGTTTCTTGAAGCTTTCTTTGAGGAAACATTAGTGATCCCTGTTGCCCATGTCGAAACCTTTTGGGAAGTTTAGACAGAAATGGACAGAAGACAAATCTAAATCAGTCTGGTGAGACTACCTTCACCTTCAAACACCATCAGTTTTGAAGGACGTAGGCAGTTCAGTTGTTCCAGACATCTCGGAGAGCTCAACGTAGATCTTTAGTGGTTGGGAGGTAAACTCAAACCCTTCCTTCTCTTCTGACCCCAGACCCACTAAATAATGTTAAGGTCAAGGCGGTGCCATGACCTTTAGGCTGCACTGGTGTCTGCCATGTCTTAGCCGATGGCACCGCTCCACACCCTCAACCTCTCAGCAACCTGTGGCACCAAGTTTTCTTTGCTGAACGTGTTGTTTTCTAAAGAACTCGACCAGCTGATAGTGAAACTACTTTACCAACAATATTATATACCAAAAATATTCAGGATAACAACCTAATGTTTCTTTGCTCTCATCAATCTTTTGATAGTGTATGATCTTCGTGTACACATTTTTTTTCAATCTTTTGATAGTGTATGATCTTCGACAGGTGTTCAGCCGAACCTCTGCTTGCTCTCATCCGTGTACACATTTTTTAGTTTGTTTTCACAGAACACTTGTCTAACAACTGATTAATTGTTTTTACCGAAACAGTTGGGGGAAAAAAAACGTCTAACAACTGATTAATTGTTTTTACCAGTTGGGGAAAAAAAAAAATTTTCATTTGATGAAGAAATACAATACAACTCAATATTCTCTGCTATTTTCTAAAAAAAACGTCTATCACTACGACCAGGACCATCGTTTTTATCAACATACCCCTTTACACATGAGGTTTCTTATCTCGTATCAGAATAATATCGTTGATGGTAAATGCCTTTAATTATACACTTGTTTGCGTTCATTCTGTACCAACTGTTACATTAGACAAACTAGATTGTTACTAGATCATTTTTCTGAAAGTTGTGTTTGGCGATACCCCGGTGGCCATTAAAGAGAATGCATGTACTTAGCTTTACTCAGCAGTCCAAAAATACTAAATTTTTCTTTAGTTTAAAAATAAATAAAAAATGAATTTTTTGCATTTGTTTTGGAAGGACAGTTTATCCTTATGTTTCAAGAGCTATTTGTGAGTACTACAGTAGGACTAGTTGTTGGTAACATAATTGCCAACATTTATTGACGGTTGTTTCGTGTTGTGAGGTGTTGGATGTATGTAGAGCTTCAATGGCGTTCTGAAAAGTAAAACACTTTTCCGTCATCTTCAGGTTCCTGTCAGACATGGAAGGATTTTGTAGAAATCCCTTCTTCTAAAATAAAGCCCTAGTTACAGGGGGGAAAGTAGTGGCTAAAAGAGGTGATGGTGATGATTTGGTAGTACTGGTAGTAAGTATTGATTTGTTTTCAAATATTCCTTTTAAAATGATAGTAAATTAATGAAAGGTGTGTAAAGAACACCAAATATATTTCATACAAATTTTAAATTCCATATATATTTTCTATCAGGTTTATGTTATCGGATGAAAAACCGATAACAATTATTACCGATACTACATAGATATGCTAATATTGGCTGATAATATTATATATATATATATACACATATATATATAAAGAGGCATTAAAGCTTCTCAGTGATGTATAATCTTAACAAACATGTGACCTTAATCGAACAACAACCTCTTATGACTGGGATTATCAAAAAAAAATTACGGATCATAATTAGAAAATAATAGAGTTGAAGTTACGATGTTGGTATAGCTTAATGAATGCACACGGCCCCGCCTCGTGTAAACAAACAGAGCTGGAGCTGATAGTTGTGACAGTTAACTTTTGATGTTACCTGTTACTTTGTATGGGGTTTGTGTCTGGTTGATTTTGACAACTCTGACATGGGGTGCTGCTCATACCCAGGAGTGCAGATGAGTGGAAAGAAGGCCAGACACACATGCATGTGAGGTTAGCTTCCATCCGCTCGCTGGCTTCCAGAGGAGGGGGGTCAACACCAAATCAAAGAAAGGGGTGGGGGGGGGGGGTGACCTAACTCCCTCCCGGACAGCGACATGCACTGCCTTCCAGTTAATCCACAACAAAATGCTACTTGTGTTCTTTAAAAGGATTAATGCTGGTTAAAAAAAAATCGTTATTTCATGGGATTTAGGAAAAAAGATTAGAAAAAAAAACCCAGCATACAAGTCATGCAGCACAAGATGGCAGACACAATGCTTTGATGGGAAAAAAGAAGACGTATGAATATTGATTAAGACGAGACAACAATCAAGGCACGATCACAGGCAACGGATCCAAACGATAAGAAAAAGTTCAGTGAAATCTAAACAGGACTTACCTATGCGGTCCAGTCGGTCGATAGCAACCGTCTCAAAAGCTCGCCTCATCATGGGATACTCTTCTAGCACCTCATTAAAATGGTCAACGGAGAGAGAGAAGAGTCGACAGTAGGTGTCCGCACGCACGCTGGCTGTTCGTCTGCCTTTGGTGAGCAGGCAGATTTCTGCATGGCATGAACAGGACGTACAAAAAAAAAAGAAGAAGAAGAAGAAGAAGAAAAGCACAGAGAGCATTAGAAAACTTTGGCAGTGAAACTATAATAGTAACACCAGGGGGCTTTGAATGATATGATCACAGTAATTACTATACAGATGAACTGTGATTGTGGAAAAGATTCAGCGACAGATACTAATCTGGATGTAAACAAAAGAGTAAAGCCTGTCAGCGCCGCTGTCATTTGCATTAAAGTGAGATAATTCATTATCCTTTGTTATAATGCAGGGAGCAAAGGGCTGTGTAATAAACAGCTGATAAAAAGCTTCAGACAAAACCAAACTACCATAACACTGAGGCACAGTAAGAGTTTCCCCACTGAACCCACAGCGACACAAACACTCAGGTCAGAGGTCTGAAACCTGTGGCTCCTGAGTCTAATATTCACTCTTATTTTTATTTTGTTGCTAAGAAAACAACATAGTGTCGTTGTCTTCTATCTCAGCCACTTAAAATTTATAGTAGCGTTGCAGCTAACGTGTTAGTTTTGCATATAGTCTATTTTGATAATAGCTTTCTGTATAAATATATTTATTTTTTATCTTTTTTTTCAGTAGCAACAATATAATACAATAATGATGTTACAATTACGCCTGTATTCACGTGATGATAGGAACTATTTCGTCATTTAAAAAAAAAAACAGATAAAAATACCATCCATGTTTTTCCTGACCGTTTTCATTTCATTCGTTAATAACATAATAACAATGATATTTTTTCAGTGCAGATTTGCTAATGTTAGGGAATTAACAAACAATACATTGATGTATTAATTAATGCATTTGAATTAGTAGGAAATTATTTTGGTATTTACTACCACTGTGTGTTTTGTAAAGCCTTTAACTAAAGTTGAAATTTCAATAATCTGTTTTGATTCAGCCAATTACATTAAGTCTGAACTTAATGATGATCTGGACAAACTGAGTCAAGAAAAAAAAAAAGAATCTTAAGTCCGGGATTTGGTTCTACTGAGCCACCACGGCCGCTCATCCGACAGCTATATTTGTCAGCTTGTTATAGAAATTCCATTATTAAGATTAATATTTAAGGAAACCTTGGTCCAGGTACAGACTGTGTGAATGGTGAGAACTGTAGGTGTAAATAAGGTGTTAGAGCTGTTCTAATTGAAAACCTCCCTCTAGGTGGCACCAGTCTATAAAAGCAATGTGAATGTAATTAAACAAAGTGGACGAGACCTACAGTAGAGAGGCTGGTATTGTTCAGTGTATTCAGTGCTTGTGTCTCGGTTGGCGGTGAGTGGTCAGAGGCTCAGGTCTACAGGGGTTCAGCCGGGCCAGCGTGGAACCACGGGGACACAACAAGTGCTTCTCAGCTGCCAATGCCAGAATTGAAACTCCATCCTCTCTCTCAAGCACCTGAGCCTCCTAATTACTGTCACTGTATAATGGGAACCTGATACGGACGTGGCCGCTGCAGCAACAGCATTAGTTATAACGCAGCGCTGCATCGGATTTGCTCTGCTTTTTGGATCTGAATGTAACTGACAAGGAGAACTACTGTCAATCCCACGATGCCACACCATATGACAGTGATTAAAGAATATCAGACATAAAAAAAACCTCATGTAAGAAAATACTTTTGTCAGGATTAGACTTAAATAATGAATTATTAACCAATGAATGACATTTTAAATCCAGCTAAAGCTCATAGGGAAAAACATTTCAGGTAAATCTGTATATTTTTTTTACCCACTGTTTCTACATGATATTGAATGATAAATGAGTTCTAGTTTGGAATGTGTATTTTGTATAAAAGTTATCATTCTAACGGTGAAAAAAGGAATGAAAAATTACTGGTCATACATACTGTTCTATTACTAGTTTCTGTAAATAATATATTTTTATTAGTCTCTTGCTATGACAAAATAAACAAACAAATATTTCAAACATCGATGTTAATTTTTTTTTAAGAATGTTTGATTTGAGCACAAATGTATCTATAATTATATGTTGATGTAAAGAAGTGATATTGTGGATGTGAAGCAACACTTCCCATGATGCACTCTGACACGTCTCTGGCCGTGTCACAAAGCAGTTTAACTGTAGATCAATTCTTATCAGTGCAAAAAGATCGTCTTTCCTCTTTCTTCTATGAAGTAAAATAAAGGAAGGGGTTTATTATGAGTGAGACCCTGGAGCCCAGAGGGGATTTTTCTCTCCCTATTGTCTGTTATTGTTCCAGCGTCAGGATCCGTTAGTGCCTCGGCCCCCTGGAGAGCTGTGGAACCGATATGTCGTCCCACTCTTAAAGGCTCATGACTCATTACTGTGACTCCTTTCTGGCTTGAAGCTGCGGTGCTGATCACAGAGGGGCTTTATGACCAACTGTCCTCATACATGCTCTATTTATTGCTACAGTTATGGTCTCCTACTTTCTGAGGTTGTCTTTTGGGGGTCACTTTGTTACTCTCTCTCTCTTTTTCTCTTTAAAATCTGCTTTTTCTCACCCATTTTTATGGTTTTTTTTTTTCTTTACTTTGTTCGTAGCTCAGCCCAATTTGTAAGGGCAAATGTGAATCATGGGGCGAATACGGATCAGAGTGAAAGAACTGGCTCAGCCAGCTGTTCCCGACTCCACTAATGGATGTAAATGAGCAGAAATATCAGTGGGCAGAGCACGGCGGCAGGTGGCCAAGCACAGACAGAACACTGTAAAATGAACGGCATAGTGAGTGCACTTATAATTTTTGCGACAGAAAAAAGATACAATAGTGAAATGGAAACATTTTACTCTGACTAGACACTAGATGATTTTCTCTTATAATGCCATTGCCAAATCAAAATGGACTAAGCTACCCAGGAACCTCGGAGCCAAAAGAATAAAGAGTGCATTAGAATGGTAGAGCGGGGAGAGGCGTTTGACAATGTTGTACTGTGGGGCAGTGGTTCTGTTATAAACAACGGGACATCTTTTACATTAGAAATGTCCCACAGCGCAGCACTGAATTTCACAAAAGTATTTTTAATAACATTTTACCATTTACTCACAATTCATTCAAGGGTGTGAAACCTGTGCCTGTTTAGTTGAACAGTCATAGGAATTTCCACAGGACTTAAAGAAAGACAATACTGAAGATCTTCAACAGTGCCATTTTTTTTAGTTTTTGTTTCCTACTGGCTACTGCATAGTATTTGATTTTTTTTTTGTGCCTAGCATTGTCTTATAGATGAATAAACAACAATTACTCGTCGTAAATAAACAACTGTTTTCAGACCAATTACTTCCAAACCGTGACAGACGGAGGCAGAGTGGTGAGAAATCACTGCTATAGATCTATTAATCTACCTGCCTAAAATAATACATTTTAGTCAGATGTCCAAGTTTGATGTATTTTGTATTTCAAATTTTTTTGATATACCATCATTTTATATTTATGTTTGTTTAAAAGATTTTTGCTAGCGCTGCTAAACTTATTACGATGCACTGTGGAACGAGGTCCAAGGCTGAGATAAACTAGAGGAGAAAATGAGAAAACGTACATATAAGAGTGTGTACTTTAATATTAAATAGGAGTAAAGTAACTGCAGTGGAGAAAAAAAAAGTATTTTGAAATTGAATAGCGTCAATAATGTTCTCAAAAGAAACAGAGGAATCTGGTCCAAGAGAAAGAGAGAACAAGACAGAACAAAAGATGAGCCAAGATGTGAGCGAGGAAACAGCTTCTGGTTTTATACAGAACCAACATCTACATCTACTGTAGCTGCTCATGTTAGTTCCAAGTTCATGCAGCCGGAATGTATGGAGAGAGTGGAGGTCAAGTGTGTATGTGTGTGCATGTGGGTGTGTGTGGGGGTTGTGGAGGATTTCTGTGTGTGTCCTGAGGGATTCCTGATCCATGCCTTGGCCTACTCCAGCAGCCAGATGAGGGGTTACGTAACTGCCGAAGCTGACTAATGTCAAACACTGGTTAATGAGAATCTACGTCTAACTTCAAACGGCATAAAACACAAGACCTGAGGCCAAACTCAAGTCTTAATACGAAACTGTGTGAACAACATAGTTCTGATGTGTGTGGGTGGTGCCCGCACACACCGGTTGGTTTTTTTTTTTTTCTTGGTCTTACCTCCAAAATATGAACCATCCGTCAGCTTCATCTCTTTGTTGAACTTGGTGATGACACTCGCAACACCGTGCTGGATAAAATACATCTTCTTCCCGACTGTACCTTCCCGAATAATGTAGTCATTGGGTTGAAAGACCTCGAACTTTAGTTTACTCAGCATCCCCGTCACGAAGTTGGGGTCTGCGTTAGCAAACAGTGGCATGGTGGCCACTAGCTTACGGCAGTTGAAGTTGACGATTTCCTGGTAAAAACGAAAGGAGGGGAAAGAAAATACACAAAAGTTACCGGTGATAATGTGAAAATGTCAGAGAGGTATTCAGACATAGAACCCCGTCATGTGCCCTTCATATCATGATTTTTGCATCAGGTTTATAAATGTAACACTTTCTTAAGAACAACCCTCTCGTCGTCTGAAACTTTTTGGCAGACAGATGAGTTCCTGATGAGGTTGCCCTCTAGTGCTGGCTGTAGTCCATCTCTCTCGTCTCCTGCTGTCGCCTCAGACCCAACAAGAGCTTTGGAGCTCGGTGTCTGTTTACCCACACATCTCTGTTGCAGCGCAGATGGAAAAGCAGGGCACTTGACATCTGTGGCGACGTGTCGTTGACCCCCGTTAGGGATAACGCTCCTCCAGTGACAGGGGAACATAAATGGTGAGATAGCCAATCTGTGGGACTCTTGCTCGTTGGATGAGGGTGACATAAAAAGATGTTAACTCAGACTCCGATGCCACTGTCGGCTCATGCCATGGGGCTCTGATCTTAATCGTGCACCAGAACTAATGAATGACATAGTCAGCAGTTTCAGTGCTCAGCCAGGAGTCGTCTTGGGAAACCAATCTTTGGTTATGGTTATTTGAAGAAAAGAAGAGATGAAGAAATTTGGAGACAAGGAAAAGTTAGAAATGGAAAATGATTGGGGGAAAAATGTAAGTGAGTTATGGAAATGCATTGGTTCTTAGGGGGTAGAGAGCAGAGGACACTGCAAGGCAGATTCATTTCATTTCAGTGTTCTTGTTTGTTGGTGATCAGGGGGCAAAATTACACAATTCTGTAACTGTATTTTCTTGCTATGAATATGTCCTCAAGGGAGGTCGGTGATCAGGGGGCAAAATTACACAATTTTACACAATTTTGTAACTGTATTTTCTCCACAAAAGCACTGCGTACTGACGTACTGAGTGCTGAGGCTGGGGGGCAGAAAAGTTTGGGAACCACTGCACTAATGCCTATGTAACTTTCTACAACATTCCAAAAAACTCTAAAAACTTTAAACTTCCACGAGGCAGGCAATCCATCACAATGAGTGTTAGGGCTCTTCATTCATTATTGCTGTCGAAGTCACTTTGTCATTGTGGTAGAGTTTGGTAAAATGCATTAGAGTAGATTAATGGGCACTCCGACACCAGACATCTGAGGCATGACTGCTGAATGGCTAACATTTAATATATTTTTTAAAAAAAGCCCCAGGAGAAGTTGTTTTTCATTGTTTTAATGTTTGCTTGTGTCGTTTCCTTCTGACTGTCCGTGACCTGAGCTTATCAAGGAAAACACTCTTGGCAGCCGACAACATTTAATCAACTCCAAGGTGAGTTTCTGGAGGTTTCTGGCTCTGAAAAGTTGCATTCAATTAACAAACTGTTCAATGCAATCGATCACTGGCCTCAAGAAAGACTGAACTCACTGCTATTGAGCTGTAGTGTAGAGGGCTATAATCAAGAGGCGTTTCTCAGTCATTTGGCTCATTTCATCCTGAGAGGTTGAGCAGACAAATGGACTGTCCTGAAGATGTTGATGATGAGTATTTTGCACAAAGAGCTGGACACCTGAATGGAGTCGTTATGATGGAACAATGCAGGTCATTCGCCCCGGGACACATTCACATTGTTTTCAACTGGGTCAGTGTTTGAATGAGGGTTGTATGAACCACCTGAGGTAGTCAAGGTGTGACGGAGGGAGGGTTGATGGTAACACCAGGGTTACATGTCTGGCTGTGATCGTACTAGAGATCCTGGAGCAACAGCACTGATGAAGCCTTTCGTTTAGACCAGTGGTTCTCAAACTGTGGTATGTGTACCACCAGTGCTACGTGAGTGCTCTCTAGTGGTACGTGGGGAAAATTCATGTTTAAATTTTCAGTTGAATAAATCTGATACATACCAGGCACAATTAATGTGCTACTTAACTGTAGCTACTTGTGAGATTATAAAATACGACGTCTAGTCTTTTAATTTATTAACTTGTTTTTTTTTTTTTTTTGCTCCAATGCAAGTGTGTTGCTCACGTAAGCACCGGCAGAACGGAATCATGGGATCACTTACAAGTTGAACGTGGAACGAGCAGAGGAATTCTAATGTTGGTCATCATGGTGGTACTCAGAGAGCTCAGTGTTTTCTCAGCTGGTGCAGAGTAGAAAAAGTTTGAGAACCAGTGTCTTAGACAAATTCAGAGTGTCGTAGGGGACTCTGTGCTCTCCAAATACGGATCCCAGAGTGGAAAGGTTTGAGAACTCCAGGTCTGTGTCTGCGTGTGAACAGAGCAGGGTGAGATGATGCGATCAGCCCCGTCTCTCTGTAACCTCTTACCCCAGTCACCGCTGCATAACGACATACAACAACAACAACTTCTGACTGTACTGGAGAGGCTAGCAAAGGTTTTTGGGGAACATCATTATGCCCCTCCCTGTCTGTGTCTAGGGCTGTACACAGCAGCTGTCGACGCCTCACTGCTCAACTCTATACGGTGACTTAATGGGTTGCATGAGAGATGGTCACGATCCCTGTGTTTGTTTCCCTTTTCACTCCTCTCCTCTATTCCATTTCTGTACGTAATTACCCATGTAATGTGCCGATATGAGGTCAACCAAGAACTTAAGGAATGGTCACTGACTCGGCAACAAACTTTCGCATTTTTTCTCAATTGCCCTCTTAAGAAGGGGCTGACGGGAGCTGAGTTTATCCCGATGCGTGTCTGTGTGTGTTTATCAGTGCACACCGCAGATGTAAAAATGTTATAAATAAAACAGAAAAATTGCTCCGCAGCTCGCCGTCGTAGGCACTGTGGATGTTTTTGCACTGAATATTCTCATATCTTGAAGGCAGCTCAGTCTGAGTTCACTCACAAAGCGAGAGGAAAATATGTTTTGTTGTTTTTCTCCTTGACCTCACAGGACGGGATGACAGTTGTTGGTATTTCAGTTTCCCATTTTCTTAAGGGTATGAACAATTCATGTTTTAAAGCAAAAGCCACAGTGTGACAGCACGGCTGTCAAAAACACTTTTTCACCTTAAAGGATGTTTTTCTCAACCATTCGAAAAAATAAAACTTTTTCTAGCGTTTGTAGAGAAGTGTGGTTTTTAAGGATTTAAAAAAAAACTGATTCAGATCTGCAAAGGGTTTTAATGAGAGAAGGGGTCTCACCTCTTTAAGTGGGTCGTTGAGTTCACTCAGGATGTTGTCCTCATCAAAGATTTTGCCTTGGTATCGGTGTTCATAATAGTCGTGTATTTTCTGCCGCATGTCTGCTGGAAGCTTGTGGAAGGACATGTATTGTTCCACTTGCTTATACTGGAAAAATACAGACAAACAGACGAATATCATGTAGAACACCAGATGCAATGAGTTGACTTTGAATTAACACAAAGGCTGCACAAAAACGTGGTCCAAATATGCTGTGTTTGTGTACTGAGGACAAGCTGTGCTCTTGTACATTCACAGGGCCACGTCCTGGCTCCGTGTTCGGGGAGAGAGCAACAGAACAGGGGAGACAGGTGGTGAAGGGAAGCAGGAAAGAGTACAGGCCTAGGGCTATGTCAAACCAAGGTAGCTGTTCTTATTATCTCTCCTGTGCAGGAAGGTGAATTCTAACAGGCGAGCATGATGCATCGTAAAACAACAGTTATAGCCCTAGAAAGTATTTTTAAAATAAAGCAACCGACGAAGGCTTGAGGGAAATTCGGTAAAAGGGTAAAGGGCTGGGAAACCCTGAACAAGTGACCGAGGGTCAAAGGATTCAGAGAAACATCTTCACCAACGGACTTACAAACTGGTTTTTGTTTCACCCAACACCTCGAAAATAAATACCATCTCATGGTGCTTAAACTTCAGGTCAGATGTATGGCTTGTGTGAGACCAGCTTCACCGAGCACAGGGCAGGAAGTAGGTCTACGGCTGACAAGCCACCTGACACAATTGTCAAAAGAACTGCAAGAACTATAGACTGATCGATAACAGTTCCAAGGGCTGGGGTTTGGGAAACAAATCTAATTCCATCCATGTGATGGACCTGGATGGCAATGATTTCTATTCATCCAAGTCATGAAACTAAATTTTGAGTTATATTTTATAGCATTTTACTTGACATTTTTCGATAATAAATAACTGGATGAGTCACAAATAAAAACAAATTTGAAACTCATTCATCTACCTGCTGTTATTTGCCTTTTTGTGTCCCGACAATAAACAGAAAAAAAGTTTTAAATTCAAATTCCTCAATTTGACACTTTGTCAAATTAAGGGATGTGGAGTTATTGTGATTAATTACAACCATGATTGTAATTAATCATGTCTTGTAATTAATTGTGATTATTCAACATCATTTTTGCATAATTCTTATAATTAATGGATCATTGTATTTGGTCATAATTTGTCTGGAACTCACAACAGAGTGATTCGTATCGAGTTGAGTGTGTGTGTATATATATATATATACATATATATATACACACAAACATACATATATTTCAAACTGAGTTCTTGTTGAGCCAAAGAGCCTCAGTATATTTCAGCTGATGTGTTTTCATCACTCTTGTTCATCGGTTGTTCACAGGAGACTTTTTCTGGAGGTAGGACAGAAACCATGATCCTCTGAGTCGGGCCAAAGCCCTGACGCCGACATCAGTTTTTCTAATAACTCAAACAGCCTGCAGCAGTGTTGTCGGTGTCCCAGGTCAGTGACAGGCTCTACGTGAGCAGTGGGATTCAGGCAGGGTCCACAAAACGAAATTTGTCAGTGGAGAGAAGGCACTTGAGAAACGAATCCTCCCTCATTGATTCACCTCCCGGCTGGGGAAAGGTGATAAGGAGCCAGGGTTTTGTTTGCGGGAAATTGATTTATTTTGAGATCACACAGTGTAACTTGTAGCATCTGCAGTGGCTCAGCAAGGTTATTTTTACTGGGAGGCTGAGGCAGCACAGAGCATGACACGACATTCCCTTTTATTTCCTTTTTTTATGTGTGCCCTCCGGCGTGAGATCATGGAAAGTTTTCAAAATATGACGACTTGATTTCAAATCCCTCATAACTTGTAATTACTGGTTTTATTGGCTAATCATCTCTAACACTTCCTTTAATGTATTCCACCCACAGTACAGTCTCTCGTCCAAACTCCACAGATTTGTTCACCCACTGAATCCTGCCCTACTTTTTATGTCTTTTATGTGCAATGTAAAAAAGATCAGGTTTTACAATTTGGGTTAGGGTTTATTTAGTTAGGATTATTTGGGGGGTTTTTTTATACATTTTTTCATCAACAGCATTTTCCCCCCTCGATAACATCCCAGATCATGATGATTTTTGTTACATACTCACAAGGCTCATTCTCTCTGCATTATTCTCCACCGCCTTCTCTTCTTTAAACATCCTCTCTCTTCAGCTACCCCCACTCTTTTTCCCCACGTGCATATTTCCAACCCCCAGCTGTGGCAGTGATAGATGTGATGACTCCAGGCTGAGTACCCTGAGCCCATCTCTGCTGCTCTACAGCCTGCTTCCCTGATAGGCACAGCCATCCAGCAAATCAGACCGTGCAGAATCTGGCTACATACTAGGCCTGTTACCAGGCACATGGCACCGTCAGCCCAGGAGCTGCCAGTTCGACGCCTGGAGCTGATGTCCAAAAGATAAAGTGTTATGTAGATATTGAGGAGAAGCAAGTGTAAATCACACACTGAGGAAATATCTGTCAGTCATCGGGGCTTCAAACATCTGACTGTTGGGCTGAGTGACGGACTGTCAGTGATTCACTGGAGGAAAAAAAAACTTGAATTTGTTTAGAAAGTTAAATAATGTGTGTGAACTCACTGTTGTTGATAATTGGTGTAGAGCTAAAATGAATGAACTTGAAAAGGGGAATAGTTAGGTGGAGTGAAGAGTGTAAACCAACAACTGACTGTGGAATATACTGTGAGTGTGTGTACTTTTCTCCTTTCCTTCCTTCCTCACTTCCTTTCTTTCTTCTGATTTATAATTATTTTTCTTCCATCCCTCCTTCCCTCCCTCTATCGCTCCTTCCTTTATTCCTTCCCTCCCTTCATCCCTCTAACCTTCTACCCTTGTTCTTTTCTAATTATCTCTCCTCTTTCCTTCCATTCTCTCCCCTTCTCCATCTTTCCTGCTTCCCTTCCCCTTGTTTCTACCTTTCTTTCTTCACCCTCCCTCTCTCCTCTCCCCTTTCCTCCCACACTGCCTCCATTCATTCTTTTATTCTTCTATTTGTTTCTTGCTATAAACCTTCTCAGATTAAACTGTACACTAGCCCTTTACTGCAATTAGTGTGCTTTTGAATTTTTTGTACCTCTTCCTCCTCTTTTATATGCTTTTATATTTTTCTCATGAATTTATTTTCAGGGCTGGCATTTCAGAAGGTTAGACCTATATGTGCAAAAATAATCTAACAAACATTCATCTTTTTTTATATTGTAAGAGTTAATGGTTTGCCCTTTAATTTTACACATGAAGACCTTCATTAAAAGACTAAAACCAGTACGACCCACTGTGGTAGTTTTTTTTTACATTAACAGCTGAAGTTTTAAGGTTCAAACCAGGTTCCTCCAAACACAGTCAGCATCAATCATGGTCATGTGTTCTGGAAATGATCCACGCCTATGTCCCCCTCAGCAGGATCACAGATGGTGGAGGCACTGAAGTGCTTGATAATCACTTTATGTAAGCAACAACAAAAAAATTAATAAATAAAAATAGAGAGATAGAAATGAAACGAAATGAAGAATAACCAGGTTCACTGCTGGTACAATGGCAGTGAGGTCAGAGGGCAGGTGACCCCTGGAAAAATCTGAGTAAAAAAAAATATTCTCAGATTTTCTGATGTTACACATGCTGTGCTCTATTAAAAAATTAATAATAATAATAATAATAAACAATAATTTAAAATGTAAGTATTTTGAAGATGTGTAGATCAGCATCAACTCTCTGGTCGAGTCGAGTCATACGCAGTAATGTGTGTGTCTGAGTGTTTTGATCTTACCTTCTCTTGGTATTGCCTGCGCGAGGAGTCCAGTGATTGGATTAAAGCTGTAGCGTGGCCCACAAACATGGCATAACAGGTGGCTCCCACTATCATACTGAGCATGGTGATCCACAGGTCAGACATGCTGACAGGTGCCCGGGCGCCGTAGCCAATGCAGAGCATGTGGCTCATGGCTTTGAAGAGGGCATAAGAATACTGCTTACCCCAGGAAACATTCTGTAAAGGTGAAGAAACAGAAGGGGTGGGGGTGGGGAGTTACTGCTAGGCAAGGCATGACAGAAACGAAGCCTCTCCTGCAGGCAGTACAGAAGGACAGGCTTTCCTTTGATGGATCACTGAACCTCTACCAAACATTCTGCCAACACTCTCCACGGCCGAGAGACTAATACCCTCAGTGAGAGACTGAACTTTCTACAATTCCCTCTTTTCGTCCCTCTGATCCACTCACTCATCAGCCGTGTTCATTAGCTCACTGTGATATTTGATTTCTGTAATAACACTGATCTAAGGCAGTGACATGACTCAAATTTCCAAACCTTGCTTAAATTACCTAATTTGAATTACACAGGATGGGAAAAGAGAAGGGCTAAAAAGATTCAGCACCTGTCTTGTGAGAAAGGGACTTATGTTGCATTAGACTAGTGGTGATATCTTGAACAGCATACCAGCTTGCCCTGGTACTCCAGGTTTAAATGTTTAATGTTTCATATATCTTTGTAATGTTTTCTTGGTTTAAATGCTCCGTCCCAGGTTTAAATGTTTAATGTTTCATATTTCTTTGTAATGTTTTCTTGGTTTTTCTTGGGGAGGTGGAGCGTCAGGGTCATGTGTGATAGGTCCCAGAAGATGGTGAACTACTAAGTAAAAATGTGACAACATGGCCAAAACTGGAACAACGTGGAATCACAGCCATCCATCATAACATCACCACACACTGTGGTTCAACCAGGAAGGGCAATAGGCTGCTGTGTATGCCAGAGATTTGCCACAGGCCTAGACCGCCGAGGGAACCTCCCACAGTGCACGGGGTATATTTACCTCCCACTTCTTATATATTTATTCGAGCACATTACACACAATACTATCACGACATTAACCTTGTGCTCATGGGTTTTTGAAGTCATATACAAGACTTAATGTTTCCCTGCAGTCCTGAAACGATGGCAGTCAGTGAATTACAGACAGAGACTCTCAGAGACTTGAAGGAATGGCTCCATGCCGCGGATCCAGAGCTGACAGTCGTGTAACACACATCAGCTCAGCTGTACGAGTGTCTTGTAAATGTCAGCTAGTCACTACTGATTCCTCTCAGCAGCTCTTTGTCACAAAAGAAGGGAAGTGATTTGCTCTTGGAGAGAGTCGTTCCTCTCTCCATCCGCAGCGTGCGTTCACGTCCTCGTGTTAGTCTTAATGGTATCTGCAGCAGGCTTCGTGGCTCTCCTCCTATCCCGCCGCGTCCAGCTGCATTTACGGCACTGTCGTCTCATCCGTACACACAGGCTACAGTATTGGAGATACACATGCACAGTGACTGCTCAATGGGGATAAAGTAACTCAGCCATTTAGGATCAGCCTGCGTCTTTATTAATGCGGGGTCATTATGAGGCATGGATGGACTACGACAACAGGGGCCTCTGGGCCATGGACGTCTGTTAGGCTTTCGCTGACATCTTCGGTATTATACTGAGCACATAGTTGTAAAGATTTCTATTATGTCTTTTAGCAGAGTCAAAATGGTGAGTTGACAGACTATTAAATGGATCAAACAGGAACAAAAGAGAACGTTCTTCAACCCTAATGGTTGTTGAATCTGCCGACAAGGGCTTTATTTAAGATTCTCCCACGACAGTATTTGAGACCATAGCCTCGAGGATTTTTAGTAACTTTTTCAAATCCAGATTCAGGGAGGCCAGCCATCTTGTCACAGTGGTTGGAGATTCAAGACCACAGCAGCAGCAGCAGCAGCAGCAGCAGCAGCAGCAGCAGGGTTCAGCTGTCAATCTTCCCCTTGAGTTATTTTTGTGTTATTTTGTCTCACAATATGTGACACTTTACATTTGTACAAATTACTTTATTAGCATAACATGTCTCAATATGTCCTTTTATACTAATTTGAATAATAATCGCATCGTTCTCCACAGCAGCAGCCTCTTCTTTCCTACTTGGCGTGTGGGTTACAAGCACTTTTGCCTTCAGTTGTTGTGCCCTGTCACGTTAACTATTTTTGTTTCAAGCATATGCTAGCCTTTAGGCAATATTCTTCCCTTTTTTTTGCCACAAGAGCCTTTTCTCTATTTTTAGCCCAGGGAAGTCACTTTGCATAAAAGGACTCCAAATTTCCCACAATTCTTTTTTCGATGCCTTAGGAAAAATGTGTCTATTGTCTAGAGTCAGAGGCAGGATTTAGCCTGCTCATTAATAAAGTGGATGTCACATGTGAAAGTGTGCCTTTTCCACAGGGACATGCAAATCCCAGAAAGTCCCTGCAGAGACAAATGCGATGCCTCACCAGTACAGGCCTAGAGCCACAGCCAAGCTGCTGACTCCTCCAATAGCTTCACCTCCAGTGAGGGAAAAGTGCTGAGGAAGCGGTCTATAACAGATCCTCTTCCAAAAAATGTATTGAATAAATAAAATTAATAAAACAAGTGTCTGCATGTGCAGTGCTGAATTTCCCATTGGCTGTAGTTCAACATGACACAGTATTTGTGTAAGTTCACATATGTCATACAGTACCAGATAGTGACGGCCCATAACACCAAGAAGAAAAAAAAACAAAACAAAAAAAACATGTATTCTAAAACATGAATAAATAAACAACCAAGTACAAATTAAAAATCTACAGAAATATATTAAAACTGACCAATTTGTAACTATTCAAAATTTGACCTCTTTTTCTGTTAGTTACAACTGTAATTTAAAAAATTAGATTTTTCTTTAAAAAAATTAAATTTATGGAATTATGAATATTATTACATACTTTAAGATTTGTTTTTATATCTTGTACATTTATAGAAAAAAAACTAACTAGATACTAAAGATACTAATTGTACTAGGATTATACTATATTAGGAGCATGTTGAATAAAAGTACTAGGATTATACTATATTAGGAGCACATTGAATAAAACTGTCATTTTGTATATGATTAATAAGGAAGTGACTGTTGATACTCTTTTGTCTCAAAAAGGAGAAAACAACTAGTAGCTATGATCCCATCTGTTGTTGTTGGCACAGCTTTAGCCTTGGCTAATTCTCAGCAGCAGCTAAAACTTCTTTCTTTTACACTGTTTATAAAAGACGGAAAAACAGTTTTTTATAATCAGATAACACTGATCTATCAGTCAGGGATTCGACAGTTGTCCAAAAAAAAACAAAAAAACATTTAGTATGGACGACACAGGAGCTAATACACACTCCCGGTCTCGTGTTTACTCCTCGCCCTGTAGCTACACATTGACATGTAGCGCACAAACCTGTAAACAAACCCATACTAGCCTGATTCCACAGCTCAAAAGTTTTTGCACAGTAACGCTGGCTTGTTCTCAAGTTCCTCGTTATAAATGTGAAACAGAGTTCAGGTTCTTCTTTAGCTGGGTGGTGAGTATGGCAGGCTTTTTATTTTTAGCAGCCTTGTAGTGACGTCTAACTGTGGTGTGTCTGGTAATGTTAGCTTAGCAACAGTTTGTAATCTCCTCTCCTCACAGGGAACTGGGCACAAACACACAACGGCACACACAAAAGCTGCATGCACTATTTGGTCAAAGTGGGAATGCACTGACGCTAAGGCTAATGGACGTCCAGGGAGTCAGGTTTAGAACAAGGACTTGTTAGTCTTTGTCTGGAGTAGAGACATCCCAGCTACAGTATCCAAACTCTTCTGCCAACGACATGCAAAAAGCTGTCATTTTCACTTGTTTGTTCTCGTTGTGATGGCATGTGTTTACACACAAACACACACACACAACACACACACAGCACTGGTAGATATGAAGTGTTTTTCTGCCTCTTCCTCAGCAGCAGCGTAAGGAACGCAGCAGTCGTCACATCCTTCCCTGTTTTTTTCTAATGATGTTTTCAAGCACCTGCTGAGGGAAAGGGAACTATACATTCCTACAGGAAGTTTTCTATTCGGCAAAATTTGGTGATTCCTTGGCTTTTTTCCTCTCATGTTCTGAGGAATTCTATTCATGTAAATTCTACAAAGAAGTTGAGCTGTTAATTATACTGAATTTTTTTAACTTTCTTTGTAAATAGCTCCTAGACTGCTAAACATCCAATATTCAGTTTGAAGGATTTAATTCATAATATTTATTAATAATATGAAATTATACAGTAAACACAAGTACAAGCATTTCCTTGACAATGAATAATTTGAATGAATGCTTCTATCGTCTTTAATGTTTGGCTTAATAGTGTTCTTTTTAGGCAATATTCAGAAAAGTTAAGAGCTAATACTATAACTGTGTCACAGACTGCAGTAAAACACATTTTTGCAATACTGTCTTCAGAATTATATAACAAAATCACTGTTGCTTTATATCATCATAACAAAGTGAGTCAAAGACCAAAATGTTTACCTCTACTTTGTTTTGGTTGGTTTGTTTTTTAAAAATGTATTTAAAAAAAAATCAAATTCTTCAGTAGTAGTCATTTGTGGTTGTACTGCAGTTTATATTCATAGAGCAATTAGGTCATAAGAAATCAAAATGAAAACAATGTCATTATGTAACTGAATAACTGAATGAACTGCAATTAACTGTAATCATGGTTGACTAAGATGAAGCTTTAGCTCCATTTAGACTGAGTCGTGTGGCCGTGTCATCACAACACGGCGACTCCCACATTCCCTCACACTCTTCTCACACAGGATGTCACTGGTTATGTGATCAGCAAGGCAATACATGAGTCACAGCGCTGAGAGTGACCCGGTGGCATTGGTTGGTAATGACACTGATGAATAACTCCGAGACCAACAGGATGTACTGCTCTGCTCCAAGGACAAACGGTGACCCCTCCCACTAATGCAGACCCTCAGAGGGAGGAATCCATAAGGCTGCAGGTGAACTCTTCCACCTCCACTGACGCATTCCCTGTGCTAATCCTGACGGTTTGTTTTCACAGTGTCCAGATACTTTTTTTAACATGAGACAAAGTCCAAACAGGACACCGTACTAAACCATGAGCAATGTAACTGATAATGTAGTCTTTTAATTTTACTTCACTGTTTCTAACAACTCTTTCTACTGTTACAGGCACTCATTTAGACTAGTTTATATTCTACTGTTTAAATTTGCCAATTAAAACATGAAATCTAGTCTTTGCCCAGTTGTTAGCATCAGATAAAATGAAATAAAGCTATGTTTTTTTCTTTCAATATTACACTTCTTTTTAGTTTTCCATCCCCTTCCTTTGTTCTTTGTAACTTTATTTCGACGGTCTTCAAAGGAGATTTACCAGATAAAGAATGACATTTTAACAACAAAGGAGATTCAACGTTTGCCATCACCAGCGCAAACAAACACACCATCATAACAAAACCTAGTCTCAGCAGAGAGGAAATCAAAAGTTTTCTTTAACAGGAAAAATAAGGCATTGTTAAGAAGTTTCAAACTTCTTGTGGAAATGTCACTTGAGGCTCGTCTGAAGAAAAAACACCTGCGATGGTGAAAAACAATTCTACATCAATACTCTAACACTAAACCCCTCATTAAACACAACATCATCTCAGGTTGGTTTGAAGCAGCAGAAGGTTCTCTGCTCTGAACATCAGCAACTCAATACTCAATTTATAATAAATGCCTCGGCCTGAACCAACGAACAGGAGGCTTTTTTTTTTTCCTCCTTTCTTTTGGGACATTCTGTTCTCGGCGACTCCTTCAACAATTACAGTATGGGACGGAAACAGAGGCCGGTCTGGGCCTATGTCCATCTAAACTGTGTGAGAGACATACATCCTCCAGGGAACACTGTCCTGGACACATGTGCTAACACACACACATATCTTTAGACTGTACCTGCAGACGAAAGCAACAGCCCATTAGCCTCTCACCCGAACCAACACAGTGACAGCAGACATTATCTTGTCTGGTGATTAAGTAAATGCAGCCTCTAAAAAGTAAGACGGTGCTTTCAGGCCATTAGTCAAGCAGATAACAGCCCTACATTCTGCACTGCACCACTCAGCAGTATCTGCACGCCGAGTTGGCCCCACTCGTCTTCTCGCGGCTGGAAACACAAGCACCGGCCCAACGATAGGGGGAAAGTGACGCAATCCTCGTCAGACAGGTGCTGCCCTGAGCAGGCTCCGTTATGTATTTTTATCTGTAGTAAAATATGAGAATTCTTCTGAGGAGTTTTAGGGCATTTACTCCTCCACATAGTGAAGGTGTGAGAAGAAGGAACCCTCACGTGGGAGAAGAGCCGCGTGTTGAATCCACCAGGCTGTGGTCAGCAGCCAACAGGCTTCTACTGCACTTCTGCAGAATGTCCACAGGGGACAGGAAACACTGCCATAAACAGCCCACACAGTCACGCCGTAGTGGCTAATCATTAGCCCAACATGCTAAGGCACTTATTACATGTTCAACCTTAATATGTCTCGTGCGGCAGATGAAGCCAAGCCCATCAGCAGTTTGTAAAGATAAAGCACGGCGCTTGAAGAAGAGTGTGAGGAAGATTCTCAGAGGACAGAGAAGAACACTTCCTTAGTTCATTCAGGAAATTACACGAAAAAATATATATTAATGCCTAACTACTGTACCTATCGGTGTTGGTACATTGGAGGTACTATTAGCTTTGTGCAGTTTTTCATGGTCTGAAATATTACATTTAACTGAACTAGAATATGTTGTGTCTAATAAATAAATGAATATTGAAAACCACTGATTAAAATCTTTAAATAAAGAATAATCAATTATCAACAACAACATCAACAACATCAACAACATCTGCTTCACTATTTAAAGGTCCAGGTTTTTTATGTTGTATTTAAATATTAAGACAAATGTATCATTGAGAGGATTAATTTATATTCAATATTAAGACAAATGTATCATTGAGAGTATTAATTTATATTCAACCAAATCTATTTTAAACCAGTGACCGGTTACTCATTCGTGGCCACAGGAAAAACATCATATTCATGACTTTGTGAAGCAGGTGTTTCATCCACACTCACAGATTTGAAGTATGAATCACCTCCTTTAAAACGACTAGACTTTGATGGGGTCGGTAGAATGCTTTAAATATTATTCTGACTGATAAGAAAGAAAGTCTACTTATTTACACATGACTGAATTAGACACAAACTGTACCAGACTGAAATAAACATGACTGGAGAATGACGCCATAGTATTTGGACCTTAGCTTAACAGGTCCAAACAGGCCCTTTAACCACTGAAAGACAAAGTCCCTGAACATGAATTTACAAACACTGTTAGCCCAAAGGCCTGCACACACAGGTACAAGTCAGTATTTCTCTGACCACCGTTTGGAGAAAGAACTACAAACAGAAAGACTGGTAAACACACAGGGATCCATAACAACAAACCCTGAAGCAGAATTTTGGGAACAGCTCAAAATAAAGTAGTTTTCTCTGTGGAGAAACTCAACGTACTCACAACCTGCAATGTCTTTGCTGTATTGTTTGAGAATATTTACGTTGACTGACATTTTTCATAAACTATAGCTTTATTTTGTGTTGAGTTTTTCCCCACTATCTCTCAATTTGGTTTATGTTAAACAGAACAAACTGTCAAAAGAAGAAAAAGGCAACTTATTAGTAGTACTAAATTAGAGCACACATACATGTATATATACTGGATATACACATATATAAATATAATTATACGTATATACTTAAATATATACACATTTACACATGCATATTTATATATATACACATATACATATGTATACATATATATACATATATACATATATACATACATACATACATATATGTATATATACATACATACATACATACATATACATACATACATATATATACATATATACATACATACATACATATATGTATATGTATACATACATACATACATACATACATACATACATACATACACATATATACATACATACATATGTGTATTTGAACACTATTTTAAAAAAATTATGTTTCAGAACATCTAGTCGCTTTTACTTTTCTAAAACAGAGCAAAAGAAGATTTAGCTGACTCCACTTCTGACTGGCCAAAATAACACAAAAAAAAAGACAAGACAAAGTGCAATACTTACAACCATCCCGTTTAGGGAGACCCAGCAGTCGGGGGGAAAGTCTTGGAGGAGAGGCACCAGATACTGGAGACAGCCATCCCAGTGACACAGCAGCAGCATCATTCCTATTAGATTAAATATTCTTACCACGGCACTGGCCAGGTCATAGGTCATATGGAAAATCTGTCAAAGAGAAAGACGGACAAGGATTTCACGGTTAGGTCTCTTTCTACTTTGACTTTGCTGTATGAAAACAGTTGCGATCAAACTTTGGGGGAAAAAAAAGTCAAATCTTCCCTGGCAACCAGATTTAAATCAGTCTAAAAGCACCAGAGAAATGTTAAAAAAAATCTTTTAAAAAGGTCCTAACAGTACAAAGTCACCTTTAGAGAGAACACAGAGGGTGCTAGTGCATTTGTGCAAGTGTGTGTGTGTGTGTGTGTGTCCTTGCAATCAATCATAAATGTTGAGCAATGCAACATGGCTTCCTTCCAGAAGAACAACATCCAAGGGAGAAGGTCCTTTAATAACACACTTCACTGCAGGGAGACTCAGGCATCGAACTAATGCTGTTTGATTAAACAAGTACAAATCTCTGAATTAACTGTAAAAAAATACATTTAAATTTTTGTTTAGTCGAGCAGTGACTCAAATCTCTGAATTAACTGTAAAAAAATAATTTTAAAATTTTGTTTAGTCGAGCAGCTTATGTGACTGTTTAATCAGCACCAGGATGTTTCTGAATCAGGCAGCCATCAGCAGGATGAGAGGACGTCGTTGTTTCATTAGTAATGGACAAAAACAATTGACTTCTGGGCCACTGGCCTGGATATGAATTCAGTCATTTTTAGTTATTCTGTGAAGCTGAAGGTGGGCCCTGATTGGTGGGTTTCACATCATAAAGTTTACCCATTCAGTTGCCAATTTATTTTAGGAAATGCATCCCAGGACCATGTCTATTTTTTAATGTATTGCTGTCCAATTCTCATAATAGAAAATTAAAAATTAAAATGTGGAAAATGTGTGCAGAACGGGTTTGTCCTGTTGAAATCCTTTGTGGTTTTCTGTGAAACGACATGTTGGAATGTGAGTCTAAGAGAACTCCACTGATGGTCAGGTTAGATGTATTCAAGATTTTTTTTTTATAAAAGTCTTTGACACAAAAACATATCAAATTACTAACTTAAATATATATAGACTTTAGTTTTAATTTATGTTTTCTTTGAAAATGGTTTGTTTGTTATCACTACTATGACTTTAACCACATATTCATTAAAAACAGATCGTATCTGAATATTATTGTCTATTCCCTCTCCTGGATATGCACTTTGGTTTCATTTATTTAAAGAAAGAAAAAGAGCACAAAACCACCGAGGATCCTAATTGCAGAAGCCAATCACCCACAAGCCTCCTGAAGTGCAGCAGCTCTAATATCTGATTGTGGACTTAATGTATTCTGGCATCATTCCCGTCCACTTTTACCCTTAGTTAAAACAGTAAAACTGCAGGGGCTTTAACAGCTCTTTGAATCCTCATCTCTCCACTGTGTTCCTGTGTGACGTTCCTCTGACCTTTCTGAACAAAGGACAGAGACCACAGGGCAGAACAACGGGGCAAACAAGGAGGCCGGGGTGATGCTTAAATCCCTGGGTGGTTCAACTCATCCACCCGGAGATACAGTTGGTGCACTGACGGGCTAAAATTAGCCCCTGGCCTATAGAACGGCTGCTCAGATCTTCAGTCTAACAGAAGCGTCTTTGTTTGTGGACACAGTTTGACAACATGGGTACATACAAACAGGGACAAACAGGGCGAAGACAAAGCAGGGCGGTGAGGGTGAAAAAGTAAAAGGTGACTTCTTAACACTACAACAATATCAAGTACCACGTGTGATTCACACCAAGCAGGAATAGACAAAAGTTGACCCACTAACTCCATAACTGAAAAGCAACAAAAACAGGGATCGGAAAACTGGACCGTACGTTTTATGGCAGAGTGAAAAGGTCATCCATATTCAAAGGTCATAAAGCATTTAGCAAAGTTCCAGGGAAGATTTTGTCTCGCTGGAGGGCCTGAGTGAACTTTGGGGTCAGTCTGAGTCCCTGAAGCCAGACAGAAAAGACATAGGAACAAATGATCACTATGTTAATGAAATGATTTGTTTGGGTTTGTGTTGTACGGTCGCCAATGGTCTAATGGCTGCAGTGGTGCCAGTGGAGGGGATTAGACAGGATAACCTTCGTTAGGCTGGAGTCATAAACAGATTTAGGAGGGGCTTCAGTTTGTAGTAGTACTCTGAAACTGAATAAATCTATTCTTGATACTTGATAAAATGTTTATCGACCAGAAACTTTAAGTTCTCGATGACTTTCTATTTGACCAGACGAAAACAAAAAGTCCCTCTAACGATGCATCACTGCCAACCTGACAACCACGACCCAGATCTTTTTGGTTTCTCAGCACAGGGACTTGAACCTTTGACCAATTCATCAGTTCATCCATGAGAATCAAGTTAATGATGCAGCCACATCTGAAAGGATTCTAAGATGGTACTCTCCTGATACTGGATACACTGATGGATGTGTAGACCAATATCACAGTAACTGCAGCCAATACAGCTGCAGAGTTGTACGGACAAGAAGGTCAGCCCTTCAGGTTAAAGAAAACAAAAAGTCATGTTTTGATTCAATGTCATGTTGGACAAAGTCGTCGACAAAGTGTAGGAAGACAAATATGTCTCCACGGAGCAGGGACAGTTTCACTGCCTCCTGTGCTGCTCTGTCCTCGTGAGTCTTGTCATTGAACATGTTCACACAGACGCTGTCGACAAAAGACTTTAACCAATCCCTGCACTGTTGGTTCCTGAAGTGCTGGGACTATTATTATGCAGTGTGTTAAGGCTGAGAGCTAATGCTTTAGGTGGTTAAAAAAAAAGAGGAGTAACTGCTGACTCTAAATGGGGAGGGGGTCGTTTAAGGACTGAACTTCTTTCAAATGTTCTTTCAGTTTTGGAAAACAAATTCAGATTGAGCTCGATCAAAACGATTGTGAAAACAAAGCTTCAATAATTTTATTGAATAGATGTTGTTTTTTGGGTGACATAATGATAAAGCTTTTCAACGTTGGAGACGTCTGTGAAACATGACTGAACACTTTTTTTGATTAGATTTTTGTTTTTAATCACCATCACAACCAAAGCTAATACAGGGCATTTCAACAAAGTCATTATAAAAACAAACATCCCAATGAATAACAACAAAATACAGATTTTAAAAATGTGTCTCTCCTTAAAGTTTGACTTGACATTCCGTCACATAAGTCAAGGTCCTCCTCGAACTATTGTTGTCTATATCCAGCACATCATCATTACCATTTATCAGTAAAGTACTACAGCACGTGTAGTAAACATGTTTGACTCCAACCCTAAGTACCACTGTGGCAGTTCTTCAGGCTGCCACTCCCCAAAATAAGGAGAATTTATTGTTATAAAGTGAGATATTAAAAATGAAATGAAACTACATTTTAATGCAACCTCAAATTGGACTCAAGTAACCTCTGGATGACTTTAGCGGGGATTAGCAAGGAACTGAATTAAGTGAATTTAAATCCACTGCTGGCTGCCACATTAAAGTGACAAAACTGCTTTCAGGGAGAGAGAGATGAAATTCTGCTGCATTACTGTGTGTAGTAAATCTCTTTTTGGAAACTCATTTGTCTTTCTCCTTAATCAAAAAATAACAGTTTAACTTGGACTGGCAAAACATGTCATCCTGTCAGAAAAATAATACTGGGATTAAGAAAGTCTCCCAGCGTCTGAATGGAAACAAAAATTTGCCAAAAAAGCTGAGAAGGAAATGTTTAATATTTAAATATTTTATCTCAGTTTGTTGAAAATGATTATATTTCATGTTGGACCGTAGTAATAGTCTGATGTCTAACGCCTAATCTCAGTGCTATATGCAATCATTCAAACAGTAATAGACTGGGAAACGTTGTTCCATCAGAGATGGCAGGAGGAGCTCGTGGTAAAAGATACAATTTGTTTTCCCCTGTATAAATATACAACAGGTCTCGGTCTCAGGTAGAGTGCATTTTGGAAATGAGGTCAGTGAGTAATTTGTAGGCAGACTTAATTAAAAGGCAGGTGGTAATCAATGGGTTCTTTGCACAAGAAAGAAAACAAGGCAATAACGCAATAATAGACTTTATGGATCATTATTCCTCATCTGCTCCGATCTGAACTCTGAACAGAGAAGGTTCTGCACAACAGAGGTAGGTACACGTGTGGTGAGAGCATTGCAGGAGAATTATACTGTGTATGAACGGGTTAAAACTTATATCGTTATACATATATATATATGCATATATATATATATTTGGTAGACAAGCCAACAAACTGTTAAAGGTCAACAATAGTAAAAGCTGGAGTTCTTAATTACCTTTCAGGGAAAAAATACCACGATATAAAAGGTTAAATCTGTCAACATATTTTGTGCTAAAAAACAAAAAAAAAACAAACAAAAAAAACCAACAACTTCGAATTACCCCTACCACCAATTTGTGTGTTGTGTGTTGTGAATTTGTGTGTTCATATTTTTCTCTCTGTGACAAACCTGTAAAGGGATTTGCACATTAAAAAGATTCAACTGCTTCACTCTGATAAATTCACCAGCTCTAATGAGGCTTCAGGAATACGGTGCAGTGATACCTGCATGCTGCGGATTTGTTTCAATACACAGTGGGAAACACAAACTGGAGACTACCTGTGAAGTCGAGTTTTTCTTTGCTTTATTCTGACATGAATTTTGTCAAGCGTTTAAGAATCAAGTCCCATGTATTGTCAGAGCCAAACTGGAAGAGATAATCTCAGGAATTAAAAAAATATTATTAAAACTGATAGGAAATGTATAGGAAATGTTCATGGTCACTGAATATTTTATTTTATTTAAGTGAGGAAAAACAAACACAATTAAACAAAATAATAATAATAATAATAATTTGAACTTCATTGATCCCAATTAATTGTGTTAACAGCAGATCACCAGACTGCCCCTTGGTGGCGCCAAGGTTGTGGTTCCTCTGGGAATCGAACCCAGGACTCTCTGCTGTCTGCTGTAGGTAACTGTCTACAGGCAATTGACCTGTAGCTGCATCATCGGCCTCTGGACTTTTTCCAACTTCAT